TTTTTTTTTCAACTCAGAGCAACAACAACTCGTACATTTTCAAAGAAACAATGCCGCTGCAATCTGTTCGTGTTTGGATGAACCACGGGTACTGTTTCCTCTGCAAAAGCGCAAACATGATCTTGCTGGATATCTACCAAGCAAAGCGCTTCTCATTTTTCCCTAACATGTTTCACTAAAAAGCAAACGAGCATAGAGAAATACAAATATAAGAGCGAAATAAGCTAGAATGCAAAGGGGTAGTATGGGGCGCAGTATTCAAGTCATTGAATGTGCTGCTACGGACAAAACAGCACCTGCAGATCATCAACAAGGAAGCGACTATACTTTTCAAGCCTTCTGTAAGCACGATTATGCACCATTGTCGTCAAAATTCCGCGTCCCAGCAATATTTCATATCCAATCACTTTTTAATGAACAAATTTTATTGTCTTCTGAGATATTCCGTAAATGAGATGAATAATTACCCATATACAACGATCCGAAAGTGAGATCCCTAAAAATGTTACAAGGGTCACTGGTCTACCATTCAAAAAGGACCTAGAAGGCTATCAGAGGAATAGTTTCTTCTTCTTCTTTGCTTGCGGTGCTGGCACTGCATTCACCATCCATGAAGGGATTCTCGACGCTTGTGATGAGCTATTTTGTGTTGGAGGTTCACTGTTAGATCCAGTAGGTCCACTTACTAAAAAGAAAGAATTTTATATGATTCTAAGTAGCACGTATTTCTTGCTGATTCTGCACCTCTGCGTAGAACGACATAAAATTCACTCGTCGTTCGCCAAAAAGATGCATACAATCTTTCTAGAAATCAGTTCTACTTCATCATCTTACTTCAAAAGACCGCTTCAATAAGCTTTAAAAAGTTTGTGGCAGTCACAAAAGCGAGGTGTAGGGAGGTGTTGTTAAAGAGAAGAAAGGATGTCGAGAAACAGATTTCTTGCCCTTGCTTCACTCCTTTCATCGTCAAACATTTTAGGCAAATTAGCACTATCCGTGACTAAAAGTGGTAATAGGGGAAAGAGGAAAGTTGTTGGGCCAGCACTAATCACTTCACTCCACGCTGTAATTTTTGAATATTATGCCCAATCACCTGAAGATGTTTCTTTTGCTTCTTCTCCCTCCGTACCACTATCGTACTCCCATGTTAGTATTGCTCTAACCACCTTCAGACGATTGTAATCAATATAATCCTTCGGCAATGCTTCCATCAATGGTTTGAGCCGGAACACATCTAGAAAAAAAGTTAAAAACTGTGCAATTAAATAAAGAAACGCACTGTCCTCACCTCCACCTAGGGATTCTCTTGCTGCTTGTAATACTGTACGAATGATCTCTTCATTTATACCTAACACATCCAAATGCACTGGTAGTCCAAGTTCAACAGCTGAGCACAGATAGGACCAAGTGGTAGATTCGCTCACACATCTCGTTTTAGATAGATCAATCTGCAAGAAAAATGTCAGAAATTTAAAATTTTTAACCGCCAAACTAAAAATTTACTGTTGAAGCTGCAGTCAGCAGATGCGCCTTGTACGTCTGCTGTACACTTGCGCTGAGACGAGATATAGAATCCTGGATCTCCGTGGGGATCTAAAAGTCAAAATTTGGATGAAGTCACACGTAAAATTCAATTCATGGTAAACTTCTTACTTCTTCAAAAACGTTTGATAAAACCGTTTACTGATATTTCTGTTAAAATTAATTTAACCAACCGCCACCGAGTCCGATACATTGGTCGTCATCTGATGCTCACAAGCAAATTGCTTAATGCAGTCGATGAAACGCTGTCCGAAACGACGTCTTCTCTCAACAGGCAGATCCGAGATCGATTCTAACGCAGACAT